CAGCACTAATGAGACAGTTCATATGCAGTACCTGAAATATCAAGCTGTTTGAGCGACGATGACAGCTATGGACGTTAGGATGCTGATCCGCTCCATGGAGTTACCATTTGCGAAATGGAAACCATGGCCCATCTACTTTGAGGATAAACATGATGATTTTACTTGATGGTTTCAACCATCTTGAAAAATATTAGTCCCCATACATTATGGACAATAAAAAAATGCTTGAAACCACCAACCAGTGATTTTCACCATATTTAACCTATTAATGGTGATTTTCCAGTTCGCAAAGCGTCAGCCAGGGGGTAAATGATGTAAATGTCAAACATCAAATATTCGGGACGCAGAAACTCCCACTGCCTATGTTCAAACCCGCGTCCCAAGGCATTCGCCTCACCCTTGTCCACCACTTCGATCTTGGGATCAGGGCCATCCGCCCCCCTGGAGATATCGCCAGCAATAGAAGATCCCATGATATATATTAATATATAACTATGATTTGATATGATATAATATGAAATGATATGATATGATGTGACATGATATGATATGAAATGATATGATATAATATGATATGTATGTATGTATGTATGTATGTATGTGTGTGTATATGTATGAGAGTGTATGTGTGTATGCGTATGTGTATGTGTATGTGTGTATGCGTATGTGTATGTGTATGTGTATGTGTGGATGTATGCATGCATGCATGGATGGATGGATGGATGGATGGATGGATGGATGGATGTATGGATGTATGTATTTATGTATGTATGGATGTATGCATGCATGCATGCATGCATGTATGTATTTATGTATGTATGTATGTATGTATGCATGCATGCATGTATGTATGTATGAGTAATTATATAAAGTGCTTTCCCATCTGGAGCACCACGCTAAGATTTGGATTTGCTTTTTGGCCCCAGGACCCAACTGATTGGGTTACAGTAAGTTCCCATGTTTCAAGGTGCACGACTGAGGAAATGCAAATTGCGAGCATCTAACACGCCACACGCACCGCTGTGCTAAACATCCCGTTTGTAACCTGGTAACTGTAACTCTTCGAAGTAGCCGTGATTGTGAACCACTTGCTGGCTGGGATGCACATCCAAAGATGGCAAAACATGACCATCATTGGTTGTGTTCAGAGCCTTGCAATCTAAAACCCACGTGAAATTGATTGATCCCAAATGTGAGGCTGATACAACCAAAACGCGGCTGGGGGTTGACCGACAGGTGCGGGTTCAGTAATTGATGGTACAGCTTCAGCCTTTTGAGTATATCATAGTAAATCAATGTATATCATTCAAATGTGTCTATATCATCAGCTTCTTTTGGGAAGTGGATTTTGAACGTGCTCGAAAGATTCCTTGCCATCCAATCCTGCCACCCCAACATGAATTTTGGTAGCGATCACCAGCCACTGGTGGCCACTGCCTGATGTACTTCATCTTGCCGGCAGCGAGGAAGTACAAGTAGCTACCTTCCTGATTCGGAAGAAATTGCCTCAGCCACAATACCATTGGAACCGGCAGGCTGGAGAAGGAACCCAAAACTTGGGAACGACCTCCTTCTCACAAGTGCTGATTCGGTGGGATTTTGTAGTACTTCCTTGAGGCTACATGAGGCATTCTTTGGACTTCTCATGGTTATTCAATTACACTAGACTACTCATCAACCAGTGAATCTCCATCCTGTACGAGTCAAAACCTGGCCACCCAGATAATGGGGATCACTGTGATCCCTTGCTCTCCGGGATATAGGCCAAAACCCCATAGGATCCCATGTTGTCACACCGAAAACAGCTGGTGCTCATGTACGTTCGTCCCGGCAGTCCGATGGTGCCCATAAGTCTTGACTCAACACCAAATAAAGATCCCTACCTGCATAGGCTTATAGACCCCAAAATTGTAAAGAATGAGGCATATCCAGAAACAGAACATCTCTCGGGGAATTGTTGTAGTAGGCCCCAAATAAGTCCAAATAATGAAACAGCATTAAATATCCATGTGTGACTCATCCTCAAAAATCAATTCTTCATCATTCAATTGTGTTTTTTCATGGTGAACCCATGGTGAACCCCCTGTCTTTCACGGCCAAGGCACGTGTCCCCGCGCGCCAGCTGCGCACGCTTCACCGCCTCCTTGGCCAATCTCTGGACCGTAATGACCTCGGAAGGGACCAACCAACTGGGACATGTTGATGACTGGTTGGTTGGTCCCATGGTGATGCCATTTATAGTTGATTTATGGGACCAACCAAAATGGCATCAACTATAAATGGGACCATGGGTAAATCAACTATAGAATATATTATGTTGATGCAATTTATAGTTGATTTACCCATGGGTATATGAGAATAATTGAAATACCTATCTGGTTGGTGGTTTCAACCATCTTGAAACATGATGGAGTTCGTCGATGGGAAGGATGACATCCCATATATTATGGAAAATAAAACATGTTTGAAACCACCAACCAGATGAAGTTGGTTAACAGGGACCCTTTGGGTATTTAATAGGTAAATCATCATAAACTAAGGGATGTTAATGTTTACTAGGGGATGAAATAGTGAAATATTGGAATATTAAATGGGATATAATCCAATGATCATATGAATAGTCATGTCAATGGATGGATTTTTAAAGGTACATCATCATAAATCTTTGATACATGGTGATTCAATGATGATTGATTGATTGCTTAATGGGGTTTAATGGGATGTTAATAGGTAAATCATCATTGATTCCAAGCCACATTTATATATATATATATGAGGTGAATCATTGATAGCTATGGAAAATCATCATTTTTAAGTTCGGTAGATCATCATATTTATCATCGAACTAATGGGCTATGTTCCTTGGCTTTGTTAAATAACCAGAGTTAATTTTAATAGGATGTTAATGGGACTGAATGACATGTCACCAACTATAGACTAAGAGCGGAAGATTCAATCACCAAATATGAAAGCATGGTGAAATCTGATGGTGTAACCAGGAAAATGGTGAAACATGGTGAACAATTGGGGATATGAGTGATTAGAATATATCAATGGGATTGGTTTCAGGAACAATCTATAGGAAACGATGGTTGGCCAATCCATTGAATATAGTCGAAAACCCCACAATAGAGATTAGTGGTCTTGAATTGTGGTTATAATGGGATAATATGGGGATAAATCACGATAAATCTAATAATCCCTTCCTCTGTTCACACTAAAGACCCCCCAGAAACCATGATTTAGTAGTGGATGAAATCATCTATTTCGGACCATGCCATGGGGATGTTTAATATGGGGATGGGAGTAGACATCCTCGTGAGGATTTCCTACTGCAATTATGTGGCAGGATGTGCGGGTTTCCTAAAATGGTACCCCAATAGCTGGATTGTTTATAATGGAAAATCCTATGAAAATTGGTGATTTGAGAATTTCAATGGATTGGTTTAAGGGAAAATCTACAGGAAACCATAGATTTTCCCATTAAATATTGGGTTATACAGTTATACCTAAAACGGTATAATGATAATGGAAAATCCTATGAACATGGATGATTTAGGGGTACCCCTATTTCAAGAAATCTTCATATGTGTACAAAGATCGGCGCATGGTCTGGGGCATACCGCCAATGAGAATCAGCCGCTTCCAGGTGCCCACGGATAGTTGAATTGGGCTTATAGAAACCCAGAACTGGGACTGAACTCAATCTCGAGTGGGACTCAAGTGGGGCTATACTGACAAGCACTAAGCCGCGAAGGGCCCATTAGATATATCGTGGTGTACCACACTTGGCTGGGATGCAGGGGCACTTGATGTTTTTTTACCAATGAAAGCATGGCACAGGGAAAAATACCAAGATTTGACGTCATACTAACTGTTACTAACTCCGTGTTTGTTCAGGTTTTTGACCCAAGCTGCTCTATTTCTACTGCCGTCTTCCAGGAGCGGCGCGGCGAGAAACAACTGCCGAGGTGCCGAGAAGGTGTTCAGAAAGGAAAAGAGTGGATGCACCATCATGTGCGGCATATTCATGGCCTTGGAGAACCATGGAGCTGGGCTGGCCATGGCAATCATTCCTCCCATCAATGGATTGTCAATAGCTTTCCATCCAGAATGGACTCCCAAGTTACAAGTTGATACTCTCATCTAATTATAGAAATTACTATAGATACATTGCACCATAGATCCTACTTTGCCCAGTCGAAACCCAAATTGCATATCATCGATTAAATGATAACCCCCTTGTTGATTAAGGCCTCAATCTTTGGTGGGAAAATCCCAATATTTCCTGGGCCTAAGTTCAAACCTGTCGGGGGTCCCTTCCTAAAAGGGAGTTCATTCAATTTTGAGTGATAGGCTCGAGTCTGAAGGTGCACACGTTGGGCAGTTGGTATCTCAGCCTATGACTTTCTGGGTACCCGCAAGAAATGTCTGCCCTGCGGCGAGCCCACAGACTCTCAATATGGGGAAGGAATCACAACAATTCATCACACGCTAGCCATTCACTACGGCTAAATTTTGAGATACCCTGTCACAAAAATATCATATACGCCTTTGCTTGGTCTATGTCTATGCTATCATGTCTATATTTACAGATTATGTCCCTTTGATATAACATAATTTGAAAACCAAAAAAAATATAATCCTATCCATTGACTGATATCCCATTGAGTCGGATTATATATATATCTCTCTCTCTCTCTCACTGTTTTTGGGAGCCTTACACCACCGAAAAATCGATAAAACTCACCCACAAATCGCTGAGCGCGTGCCCTTTCTGGGCCGTAGGACGCATTGCAACTCTTCCATGAGCCCGGCTGAGAGCAGTTCCAAGACCTGCCCATTTTGGGCGGTGTTGACAGGGAGTCTCCATGGGTATTTCTTGGGAAAGTCGTGGAAAATCGATCGGTTGGGATGAACCTAGGAGACCATTGGTTTAAATGGTGTTTATGAGCACTTAAAGATGGGGCATTCCCGTTTCAAGCGTCCCTTAACGTCCAATTCTGGGATTGTTGTTTAGTTTCTTGTCAGTTTTCTATGGTAAAAGCTTGGGTTACCCCACAAAATGTGCGCTGAGATTTGCCGAAACGAGCTTCATGTGTTGTTTTTGACAACATGTTGGGTCAACCGCAGGGGTTTGCCGAAGCAAACAAGGTTTCTGAGCTCGTGACCATTGGGTGGGGGTGGGGGGGGGGGGGGGGGTGGGGGGGAGTAATAACGTTCAGGCAGCTTGCGTTCCATAGAACTCATTATCCAACATTGGAATAGCTGTCCGTGGGGTGTGGGGGGGTGGGGTGAAGAGGGGCCCTAGCGTCTACTTCAAGATCAGCTAAGGCGTCTTCCCCAATGACAGCACTATTTTACTCTCAGCCTGTTGCCGGTCAGTGCTTGTCCACAGGGTTACTCTATATACCTCTTGAGCCTTGAAGGGCGCATATAAATGTGCTCAATACTCATGCATGTACCTCTGTAGATATTAGGTCGAAACAAAAACATGGGGGGGGGAGTAATAAGGTTCAAACAATTCATCGAACAATAGCACCAAACATTGGAACAATTCATCGAAACTCAACATGGCTCCGAAGGAAATCTAAGTATGCTGTTCCAATAAAACACACAACTTTATTTCTCTTTCCAACAAATCACAAGTTCAAAAATCCTGCTAATTTTTCCGCGGGATCCCGCGAAAAAATCTTGTTCGCAAAACATGAACCTGGTTCAAACAATCATCCCTTATCATACAAACATCTTGCAAATGCTAATGTGAAACCAATGAAAAACACTGAAAATACCATGAAATTTCCTCCTACTAAACGGCTGCGGATGGACATACATGATCTTAACATATGTTACCCTTCTTGCAAACTCATTCCGACTCACGGCAAACCCCCCCGGCAAACCCAACATGTTGCATGTCCCTTCATCAACGTGGCCAAACCTTAAGCCAATGATGTATTTGCAGAATCAAGATTTTTTTGTGGTATGAACAAACACTTCAATTTCTGAACGAGATTTGAAGCATGAACCATCAAACTTCGTGGTAACAGTTTTTGATCCATTGCCCCATACGACAATGACCTCCTAAAGTATAGGATAGATCGTCAAACATGATCACATAGCATGTTGGTTTGAGATTGTCCGACACTATTGTAGGCCTCTCACAAAAAAGGTGCAACAACGCAACGAGCGAACAGAAGGACGTAATTGAGATGTGGACGCGTTGTTACTGTTGTGCTGCTTCCCCACTCATGAGTCACTCATGAGACCTAGTGACTAGCGTCACCAACGTGTACAGTGACAAGGAAAATGTTGCATCCCATTCCCTGGCAATTCACCAATCCGCTCCCAAAACCCGAGCCAAACACTGTGCACTAGATTGAAGTACTGACATGTAAACTGAATTCATCTATAAAATCTGTCCCAGTTCCCGCAGAGCGTGCCTTCACTTCCTAAGCTTTTGTGAGCACAGCTGTTCAAGGCGCACAACATCACAACATGTTGATTACACCATCATAACATTAATCTATACTAATCATCAGCATCAATCAATCATCACCATGGTGCTTCAATAAGCATCAATATTCAATAAGCTGATTCAAAACTTGTTCAGTCTTCGACCTAATTCAAGGATTTTTATGTCAGCAACTGATGCTCTTGGTATTTATTTCCCAAGGTTGGCTCAAGATACCCTCTAGTAATAAAACAAGGCGATGGAAGATCCCGCAGTTTGTTTTGGTTATTTTCCCAGCTATAAACCTCCACAGTGCTGGCTTGGACTTTGTGGCTTCTTTGAGTGGCACCCCATGCTGGAACAAACTGGCTGTGCAGCCAATTCCAATTCATTGGTAGCTTTGCTGATGGCAGAATTCAAGGCCGGAGCAGGGAGGGCTAAAAATCAGCCACTGCTTTTCCACCCTAAACATCTGCCATTGTCAGCCTGGATGAGATTTCCTGGATTATCTCTTGGAACTTCCATGGTTCTGTGTTCTGTGGGAAGCAGAGAGGCTGAGGTAACCTCAAATTGAGAAAAGTAAGAAACAACCATTGCATTAGAGCCGGGGAATTCCTAGCTAACCATTTGATTACCGGAGGGTAACCATTGTTAACCAGCATTAGCCATTCTGAACTATGCTTCAACACTATCCTTTCGAAATCCTTCGGTTGTGAAGATCGAATTCCCTCCGAATGATTTCCCAAGACATGCCAAAACCCATGATGAAACACCAGAAGTCATCGAACGGCTTCCATAGGGCTCCATGTAAATCCATGATTTGAAGCGCAAGAAAGCTATAATGAACTAGAATCAACTACTATGAACCACTATTAAGTCGCTAACACTTGTTAACCATGAACAACTAGCAACCATAATCATTCACCATTATTGATTAAAACTATATTTAACCATCGGTAAGCATGGTGAAGTATGGTTAAGCATGATCCATCCAGCATTTTCCAGAGAAATCCCACATAATTCACCATTGTTAACTCTAATCAACCACTTGAACAACTAGGAAACTATTTTCAACATCAACATGAAAACCATCAGACTAGCCGAAAATGACCATGAAAAACCATCATGGAAACAAGTACCCTCTGGTAAACTAACATAACTATGGAAAATCACAATTTTTAATGGGTAAATCAACTATGTCTATGGTCATTTTCAATAGTTTTTTGTATGTTTACCAGAGGGTAATCAGACATGGATTTCCCATCCCTTTCCACCACATTTTTTTCCACGACTCCGTGATGGCCATCTGTTTCTGCTTCTGCGAATGTGCGTGCTCCACGAAGCGTTGGATCCGCGAGGCCAGCTCCATGGGGACATGGTTCCTACGGAAACGAGCCATGGAAAAAATCCATGGAAGCCCCATGGGAAGCGCAGGAAAAGCCTGTGAAAACCCCTGGAATACATGGGAAAAACCTATGGAAGCTATGGAAAACCATGAAACTCATGGAAATTCAATGAAATACCTATGGAAACATTGGAAAACTCTATGAACATCATGGAAAAAGAATGGAAACCTGGTGATAACATGGACAAAATGATGTAGAGTTTACAGGAAACCTATGGACATCCCAAAGAATTTGGAGCTAGAAACATGTTACCTATGCATCGTGTTCGGCTAAGATCTTCCCTACCAGGAGGTCTGACGGTCTGATCTGATGGGCCAAGGCACTTTGCGCACTGGAAACCATGGCCTATTTACTTGTATGATTTTCAATGATTTACTGATTTATATATATATATACCTATAAAACATGATAAATAAAAGGTTATTTTCCATAGCTATGCTAGATTACCAGAGGGTACATCTCCCTTCTGGCACCCCGATCATCGTACTTCCACCTCCTTGTGGGAAAAAATGAGAGGGCTGAAAATCATCATTCACCTGCTGGTGGATGCTACCCCTATGTTAGTCGACCACTCAGTAGGTACAAGTAGGAGTTGGGGATACCCATACACACACAAACACACACACATACACATATAATCATATGTATATATATATATATACACAAGATAACTAATATGCATGTACATAGAAAATCATATAAATAAATATGATTACATACATGCCCAAAACCTTTTGCGATCCCCTCCTACTGTTTGGCCGATACGGATTCTGTTGATTTTTCATGTACTTTGTAAACCATCCCAAGGATGTATGCACTCCCATCCCAGAGCCCACCAGGCCACAACAGACCTGCGAAGGAACCGCCGCATCATCCAAAAGTCCTCGGGTGAAAGCTGTTGGACCCGGACTGCAAAGGGTTGGTGCAAACCGGCAGGGATTCTATGGGATTTTTCTATGAAGAGATGCGCTACTGAATCCATCTTAATCCTAGTTAGCCAAGTTGGTTTAGTCGGTTTTGGGTGATCTTAAGTGGGGTTGATGATGGATAGCAATGCACTTCCTTTAGATGAAATTACAAAACGACTTCTAGCTGGAGGGTACCGCATTCACATCCCAATCACATCCAATAGCGGACAGCCATCACTTCGTCCTTGGCGGATTGCTCGGTCATGCTCCGCAGTTGCGCCAAAGAGCCTGCAGTGCCAGCCCTTGGTGAACAGCCCATAACAAGGGACATTTCATGACGTTAATGTCAACCCGGGATTTATAAAAAACCTTGGGTGATTAGGCGGGTAGCCTCCCAGTTATAATCCGGCAGGATCGTCCTGTAGAAATGTGCTCATGTGGTAAACTCAGTGAGAAACTATCCCCACAATTACCATACGGGGATAAAGCTTCATCCCCAAATCGATCCAAATGGGTTTACCAGTAGTGCCGCACAAGGCGGTGGCGGAAGCTTCAAGGATAGACAACTATAGGAGAGGTGAGTTGTTGTGATGTATGGATGGCAGAGCGAATTCACTGATTGGCCGAAAAGTCGTTGGAGTTGTGCTTTTTGGAGTGGTTGCAGTGGTTAACTCACCCACAACTGCAGAATGTAGTGTGGCGTGGTGTGGTGTAGTGTAGTTGTAGCTGTAGTTGTAAGTGCCGTATAGTGGTAGTTGTAGTTGTACTGCAATTGTAGTTGTATAGTTGTAGTGTAGTTGAAGTTGAAGTTGCAGTTGTAGTTGTAGTGTGTTGGTAGTGGTAGTGGCCGTGGTAGTGATAGTGGTAGTGGTAGTTGTAGTGCAGTGGTAGTTGTAGGTGTAGGTTGTAGTTGTAGTTGTAGCTGTAATGTAATGTAGTTGTAGGGTAAGTTGTAGTGAGTTTTAGTGTTAGTTGTGCTTGTAGATTTAGTTGTAATGCATTTGAAGTTAAAGTTGTGGTTGTAGTTGTAACTGTAGTTGTAGCTGTAGCATAGTTGTAGCTGTAGTTGAAGCTGTAGTTGTAGTGTAGTGGTAGTTGCCTTAGTAGTTGTAATGCAGTTGCAGTTGAAGCTGTAGTTGTAGTGTTAGTTGTAGTGTAGTTGTAGTTGTAGTTGTAGTAGTGTAGTTGTAGTTGTGGTGTAGTTGAAGTTGAAGTTGAAAGTTGTAGTTGTAGTTGTAGTTGTTGAAGTAGTTGCAGTTGCAATGTTGTAGTTGTAATGTTTTGTTGTAGTGCATTGTAGTTCGGTTGAACGTCCAAAAGTGGTCCGAACATGTGGTGTTTCGCGCCACAACGTCGTGCACGTTTTCAACATCTCAACTTCAAAAAGTGCTCCGAATCCGTCAGTTTTGTACACTTCTGAATTCAAAATGAAATGTGCTTCGCGCCACAATGGTGTGCACTTTTTCATCATCTCAACTTCCAAAAGTGCTCCGAGCATGGTGTGTTTTGTACATGTTGACTTCGAAGTGTGCTACGCGCCACAACGGCGTGCACTTTTTCGACAGCTCAAGCTCAAAAAGTGCTCCTGCATCTTCTTTCTTCTGACTCTTTCTCTTCTCTGATTTTTTGTTCTTCTCTTCTCTTCTCTGACTCTTCCCACCTCTGCTTTTCATCTGTCCATATTGTCGGAAGTTTGACTTCTAAACTTCCTTGGATTATTGAGTTTATCCTGAGGTAAACTAATGTAGATGCGGAAAATCGACCATTTTAAGACTACTTTCCGGCGGTTCCCCCAGGAGGGTTTTCCACATCTTTGTCAAAATGCGTTGACCCTAGGGATCCCGAAGACACAAAAATCTCATGGGCTTCACCATTCTGAAAGTCACTATGAACTCTTGTTTAAAACAAGCTCATTATTATTAATCATCATTAACATTCATTAACCACTAGAAATTGTGATTAACCACATCATTAATCACTAAAACAACTATTATTTCAACATATTAATCGTCACTATATAACCACCCATTATTTCACAATTCAGTCCAAATCCTTTCTTGGTTCAGTTGCGCCTAAGATGCTGCCCACCACATAGGAGAAGCCAACCAAGGCAAAGACCTCATTTTTTGCAATATCCATGAAGCCCAATAAGCTGGGAAAACGATGAATGTAATATCTATAGTTTATAACATATAATCATTGGGTATATAAGCCCATGAACTATATGTATATATATATATATATATATGTATATATATATTATATATATATAAACATAAACCATGGTTATCTATACGTAGTCATATATGACATAAATCCCAATTTACTAGAATTATATCTTGGTTTAGAACCCCATGAAAAAGTACGAAGACTGTACGCTTAAAGTTATAAGACTTTACAGACTTAGCCTAGATATACAGAAGTTAAAGGATTTATGTTGGAAGTTAGCATGACTTATCAAAAAGATAAAAGGAAGTTATGTTAACTTTAATAACTTATTTGTAAGTTTTGTCTTAACTTTTCGTAACTTCTGCTAACTTTTTATAACTTCTGCTAACTTTTTATAACTTTTCATAACTTTTTGTATCTTTTTTGTATATTTTTATACTTTTGAAAGTCTTTGCCTTGGTTTCCGACCACGTGGATTTTATAACTGTCTTGTTTCTGAAAGAACTTTCAGATATGATATCCTTTTTTTGAATCGACGAAGTGATGTGAAAGCGTTTCAGTTATGTATGTTTCAGGAATCATGACACCTGAGGCGATATGTTTTTTTTTGTGATATCTCTGTCTGTATTTTTGGATCTGGAAACAAGTTTAGTTGCAACTGTTCCCGTTCGGGATCCGTCATTTTGTTAAAACGATCCCGTTCGGGACTTGGTTGTTTCAACCTCTCCCTTTCGGGATCTAGTCCGTTCCAACGTTCCCTTTCGGGATTTAGTTTCTTCAACCCATCCCTTTCGGGATCTGTTTTTTTCAAACTGTCCCTTTCGGGATTTGGTTGCTTCAACCCATCCCTTTCGGGATCTGTTTTTGTCAAACTTTCCGTTTCGGGATTTGGTTTCTTCAACTCATCCCTTTCGGGATCTGTGTGTTTCAAACTGTCTCTTTCGGGATCTGGCTGTTTTCAACTCATCCCTTTCGGGATCATTTATATTCAAACCATGCCAGCGACGCAAAAACTTTTTTTTCTAGCCGGGGCATGAAACGCAGCTTCAATTTGGATCATTTCCTCTTCTTCAAAACCGAATGTGAAGCAACATGTGCGTTTTTACCATAGGGTGAGTAAACTGTTACCTGATAGTATCCAATGGGCGGGTCGATATACTTGCATCTCATTCCACATCATCCGAAGCAATTCAGTGTCTGCTCTGCACCATTCGAAAAGGCCAAATCCAATGACCCGAGTGGATTCAAATTTTTCCAGGACGACTGTGATGGTATCACCATGTTGTTCAAAGCATTTGATTCTTCCAGCCCAAAGCAAATCATGCTGGATCACAACATTGTCCACCTTCCACGTGACAAGGTTTTGTTTCAAAGTGTAACTTTGCCAGTGATTGGGTTTCACGAAGGTGCTTTCGCACAAGAAGGCCTTGCCAATGCTTTCGCTTGCCTTGTTCAATTCATTCACCTGTGTTAACAAGATGAGTCGAAGCATGCGTTCTTCGAAGCCTGCCAGATTCTGTCCGGAAGATTCGATCTCTCGTTTCAACATTTGATGCTTGCGTTCTTGCGTTTTTGTGTCCAAGCAGCAACCGAACTCAGTCCACGCGTCAGCTGCATGCAAAGAATAATGATGCTTCGGTCTAGCATGCTCACGCCCATAGGCTCGCAAAAACTGAGCATAATGGGCTTGCTGTTTGGATCGCAGGAGATCTCGGAAAGTGCTTCTTTGGCTCCAAGCTAAGACACATAGGGTATACAACCGTTCACAGAGAAGTTGGAAGGAATAGCATTTGTCCTGCAAGCGCTCCCAACGCTGTGTACCATGAATGTGTAGCATCAGCCACAAGTGAAGTAGCGGCATCATCATCATGTGCTCCGATCCAGACGCTTTCCATCCAACATTGGAACCAAAATAAGGATCCGACAGCAAGCGTTTCCGGGATTGCAGACTGACAGGATGGGTGGAGGAAATGTCCACTGCCGCACAATCTTGGATCTGGTTCCAGCTCATCCCATCTGACAATAATGCCTGGACAAACAGCCCAACCTCCACAGGCGCGATGCCACCTGAATTCCAAAAACAATGCAATAAATCAAACGTCGCAGTGGATGGACGTACAAAATTTCTCAAGTCATGTTGGGCCAAGAGTCCGTCTGGAGAATGAGTGAAGCCGATGTTTCTTTCTAATTCTGCGAACTGTTTTTTCGATATAGTTCGCTGCTGTTCTTCCAAATGGTCCATCGATTGCCACACATCTTCATCGGTCATCCGATGAAATTCGGTGATGTTGGGACAGCAAATATCCCGAAAATAGCTTCCATCGTCCAAACCTAGAGTCGCGCCTGCCAGTTTGGCAACACAGTTCTTGCATTTCATGCACGGTCGTCGACCAGAGGCGCCTTTGCAACACCACATTGCATGCATTGCAGACTCATCCATGATGCATCCTGCTAGTCTCACTGGAAAGATGCGAATGGTGCCATCTCTCAATGTCACTGGCCTGCCATGGAAATTGTCTGTCCAGGACTGAAATAATTTTGCCAGGCAGTGACTCAAACCTCCAGTGATCCCCTTGATGATCTGCGTACGCAAGAGTGCGATTGGCAACCAGACAAATTCCGAATGCAGCAGTGATCGCCATTCTAAGAAACTTATGTAAAAACAAACGCTGCGTCGAGTATTGTCCGGATGAAGCACATTTCCGGGCACAATTTCATCATGATAGAATAGAAGCTGGAGAAACTTTCCGTCAACATGCTGTCGTAGCAATGTGTCAAACTTGTCGACATTGTCGACAAAAAATTGTAAAGCCGCATGTGGCGTCATCGTATGCCAAGTCACAGAAGATCCATCATCGCATGGCAATGAGATGCAATTGCAGTATTGCTGCCGCCAATCAACACGTCTTCTCTTGTTCAACTGTCTCACGGACCCAGTGGTCACAGAACTAGACAGCAGGTTTTCTTCATGCAATATGTCGATCACATCAATCACCGTTCCGACATTCGCACCTCTGCGAGCACAGGCGCTAGCTGCAGCATTGCGCAAGCGTCGCGCTTCATCTCGTTTGAGATGTTGCTGGCTCATCTACTATAGGCTTGATTTGTGCTGTGGAAACTGACTATCCTTGAAGTGGTTAACAGGTCAAGCAATGTGGCATATGCGTCCTTGAGGTCGCTATGAGTGCCACTCGTACTTGCAATTGGCATGGCAAATCACAGGCTGCAACACGCAAAGGCTTGAAAAACAATTTAACCATGTGCCTTTTGTTGACGGATGCCGTTCTCTATATCGGACATTCTGTATGTTTCAAATTGTCCTTGATCAAGCTGGATCTCTTCGATACCAAGTATACCTTTGTTTGCCTATCACGTCTATCCCTTTCGGGATCTTGTTGTTTCATTGTAACCCTTTCGGGATTTGTTTTTTTCAACCTATCCCTTTCGGGATCTGGTGATTTGAACCCATCCCTTTCGGGATCTCGTTGTTTCAACCCATCCCTTTCGGGATCTGATTATTTCAACCCATCCCTTTCGGGATCTGGTTGTTTCAACCCATCCCTTTCGGGATCTGATTACTTGAACCCATCCCGTTCGGGATCTGGTTGTTTCAACCCATCCCTTTCGGGATCTGATTATTTCAACCCATCCCTTTCGGGATCTGGTTGTTTCGACCCATCCCTTTCGGGATCTGGTTATTTGACCTCATCCCTTTCGGGAATTATTGCTTGCAGCAATATGTCGTGAGACAGTAACGTGATACATCTGGAAAACGTTCCTTTTTTTCCTCTCCGCTTCAAGCAACACAGCTGTCGCTTCGATCTACTTGTCCTCTTTCGGAGTTGGCTTGGCCTTTGGCGCCACATGATACAACAAATCTCTGAAGGCCATAGTTGTCTTCAGCAAAGCCTGCAGAGACTCCTTCAGGCGCAAGTGATCAATCTCCGTATCAAGAGTTGCCTCCACGATGTCCTCCGTTGCCTCGATGCTTTCCTGCAAGATCTTTTGGCCATCTTTGAGAGCTACCTTGTCACTCGAAGTCTCGATGGAGGACCGGAACTTCTGGGAGACACTCATCGCCTGCATGGCGTCTTTCAAGCCAGCACTGATGTTCTTTTTGATGCCTTTGTTGGCTGTGTTCCAATTAACGACAAGGCCAGCTCCCGAAGCCTTGCCTCCTCCTTTGCCACCAACTGAGAGAGCGGAAGACGGCTGGCTCCCGGGCTTCCTGACTCTCTCCATTCCCATTGCTGTGTTCCGAAACACAGTAGCTTCTTTGTGTTGATTTGACACATGATCCTTGAATTTCTCCACGCGGTACTGTTTCACATTCTCAGCGGCAAGAGCTGGATTTTCATGGTCCCTCTCAGGTAAATCCTTGATCACCAGAGGCAGGTGAGGATCGTCCAGCTGCATACCCTCTTGCTGAGCGATTTGCTTCAGTGTCATCCACCGGCCGCTTGTAGTCGAGCCTTCCATTCTTGCTAGCTCAGTCTCTTGAGCGATCTCAAATCGGAAACTCAAGGTGCGGTCAGCAATGTATTTGTTCAAAATGGCTCTCTTGTCCTCAGTGCTGCCTGCACTATATCGCTGTGCCAGTTCGTCTATTCCAGCCTCTCCCGATCGAGCTTTCAAGACATGTTTGAGTTTTTTGATCTCTGCCACAGGCAACGGATTGGCTGACTTGGGCGGCATTGCTTTTTTTGTTATATCTGAAGCTGTGCCAAAGGTGCTGCAGATTTTTTTCTTCGTGTATATTTGTTTTGTATGAACTATAGCGATTTTTGTCTCCAGTGTAACTATTTTTATCTGAACTATAGCCATTTTTTATCTGAACTATAGCCATTTTTTATCTGAACTATAGCTATTTTTGTCTGAACTCTAGCTATTTTTGTCTGAACTCTAGCTATTTTTGTCTGAACTATAGCTAGTTTTGTCTGAACTATAGCGACTTTTATTCTGAACTATAGCTAGTTTTGTCTGAACTATAGCCATTTTTTTCTGAAAGACTAATATTTTTGTCTGAACTATAGTCATTTTTTTCTCAACTATAGCCTTTTTTTTTGAACTATAGCTATTTTTGTTTGAACTATAGCCATTTTTTTTTCTGAACTATAGCCATTTTTATCTGAACTATAGCTATTTTTGTCTGAACTATAGCTATATTTCTTTGAACTATAGCTATTTTTGTCTGAACTATAGCTGAACTATCTGAACTATAGCTGAACTATAGCGGAACTATAGCGGAACTATAGTGGAACTATAGCGGAACTATAGCGGAACTATAGTGGAACTATAGCGGAACTATAGCGGAACTATAGCGGAACTATAGCGGAACTATAGCGGAACTATAGCGGAACTATAGCGGAACTATAGCGGAACTATAGCGGAACTATAGTGGAACTATAGCGGAACTATAGCGGAACTATAGCGGAACTATAGCGGAACTATAGCGGAACTATAGCGGAACTATAGCGGAACGGAACTATAGCGGAACTATAGCGGAACTATAGCGGAACTATAGAACTATAGGAACTATAGCTGAACGGAACTATAGCTGAACTATAGCTGAACTATAGCTGAACTATAGCTGAACTATAGCTGAACTATAGCTGAACTATAGCTGAACTATAGCTGAACTATAGCTGAACTAGCTGAACTATAGCTGAACTATAGCTGAACTATAGCTGAACTATAGCTGAACTATAGCTGAACTATAGCTGAACTATAGCTGAACTATAGCTGAACTATGTAGCTGAACTATAGCTGAACTATAGCTGAACTATAGCTGAACTATAGCTGAACTATAGCTGAACTATAGCTGAACTATAGCTGAACTATAGCTGAACTATAGCTGAACTATAGCTGAACTATAGCTGAACTATAGCTGAACTATAGCTGAACTATAGCTGAACTATAGCTGAACTATAGCTGAACTATAGCTGAACTATAGCTGAACTATAGCTGAACTATAGCTGAACTATAGCTGAACTATAGCTGAACTATAGCTGAACTGTAGCTGAACTATAGCTGAACTATAGCTGAACTATAGCTGAACTATAGCTGAACTATAGCTGAACTATAGAACTATAGCTGAACTATAGCTGAACTATAGCTGAACTATAGCTGAACTATAGCTGAACTATAGCTGAACTATAGCTGAACTATAGCTGAACTATAGCTGAACTGTAGCTGAACTATAGCTGAACTATAGCCGAACTATAGCTATCTAGGTACATTTATAGGGGAAAGGTATCAAATCGACGAATTAATCCTTTTCAGAAACTGTCTTCTCAGACCGAATCCTTCTCAGGAATTGTCATTTCAAACTCTTTCCTTTGCAGGAACTGTCTTCTCAGACCGGATCCTTCTCAGGAACTGTCTTCTCAGACCGGATCCTTCTCAGGAACTGTCTTCTCAGACCGGATCCTTCTCAGGAACTGTCTTCTCAGACCGGATCCTTCTCAGGAACTGTCATTCCAGACTATTTCCCTTTCAGGAACTATCACTTCAGACTCTTTCCTTTTCAGGAAGTATCTTTGCAGACCATATCCCTTGCAAGAAGTACTTGTATATGATACTTGGTTTAATCTAAAATGATCAAACCAAAGAAGTGGGGCAGCACATGCAATATGCCTTTTTTCATCATCCAGGCTCCATGTTCAGAGTTATTTGGCGCCGTGCGATGTGCCAAAGGTTCCTAGCATTGGAGGCACAGGAGCCTTGGAGCCACCTTCGCCATGAGCAGGTACAGCGGCACCACCAACCACAGGCGTTGGTGTGGCTGGTGTTGTAGAAGCATTCGCAGCAGCATGAGGAAACATCTGCGATCCTCCTGCGACTGTGACTGCGGGAGCTGCGGCACCATGCGAAGCAATATTCCATGGCGCAGTGGCTCTTTCTTGCTCTTTGGCATGCCATTCCTGATATTCCCAAGCATGCCACGGGCCATACTCCTTTCTGTACGCCTCCGCATCAGCGTCTCGAACAGCCGCAAGGTCATCCATCATCCTGGCGTGCCATTTGCCGTAAGTTTCTCCCTGTAGGGGCACTGGAATCGTCGATGAAGTCAATCGACGATGTAGGTGTCGCAGGAGTTCGCGGTCCTGCCGCGCTTGCGGCTTGTGGTATGGAGCAGACATGGTTTCCTTGATCCCAAAAAATCACGGACAAGAAATATGTTGTTACATGTCATGTCAGATTATGTCGATGACACTCCCTAACGGGAGCTGCTGTTGCCAACCAGATCCCTTTCGGGAATTGTCTTTCCAGACAACATGACAAAGTCTGACGTTCCAAATCGTTCGTTTGCGGAAACCTACATGTAGACAGCTGGTCCATTTTGCCCGAAATACAGCTGCAAAGGCTTGAAGAAATTCTATACATTTGGTACAATGTGGTGCCTGCGAGTTATAACTCATGTTATAAGTATGGTTAAGTTGATTTATAAAAGGGGTTAACCTATGTTATAACTATACGTAACTGATGTTATAGATATATCTGAGTAATGAAGATATAACATAGTTTAAGTAATTTAAGTGGAAAACTTAAAAATAAGATATGGGGAAGTTAGCGAACTTAGGTTTTGGGAGGTTTTTTTTTGAATGTGTAAAGGTGGATTGGAAATTTCAAGATTTTTGGTACACATGAAGCTTTTTGTGCTCAAGTTTTGCTCGAAAGTAGCATTTTGAGGTAGGCGATGGCTTCGGTGGCTGTTGGAGCAGGTGAATTGCAGCCTGCAGCGGCTGCAACGGTGAGGCAGGAAATGCAGAACTGGGTCTCATTTCCAAATTTTTTATTGCCTGATCATTGGGTCTGTTTGCAGTCCAATGAGCGGCAGCTGCATAAGTTGGAGACCGTGGTGAATCATTTGATTCGCATGGGACTGCGACACCCGTCTGAGAGGACGCAGGCAACTTTGGCTGCTATAGTCAGCCACGTGGGGCCGAACGCAATGGATCCTTTTGCTGCGCCAGATGTTCCAAGGCAGACGGCTTTGCTAAGCACAGTCAAAGCGGTTTGCAAGACTCAATTGTTGCGCTTGCGCAATGTTGGCTTGCCTATGCCGGGAGGATATATTATCGATCTTCCCGCATCGGTGCAGGATTTGCCGTTGGCTTTGCCGAATGAGATGTTTCCGGGTGGCGGTGTGCCGCCGCCAATGGATTTGAATCCGATTTGGCAGGTGGCTCAGGCGTGGGCTGTGCGCAGCACGCATCGGTCTCGGACGATGGGGCAGTCGAACCTAATGGGAGCTGCAAGCGCTTCTGATGCTGCTAGCATTGCTGCACAAGCTGCGCTTTCGACAGTTTTGGCCTTAGCCCCGCATGTGGCTGCGGCACGTGGCTCTTCGTCGGATGCAGTGCCTGGACTGCAGATTTTTGGCGGAGCAAACCGCGCGACTGCAGCTGCGGCTAGCGGTAGTCGAACAGAGTTTGCAGCATTGCTAGATCGAGCATCAGCAGGAAATGCTGACTCAGCAGCTCCAACTGTGACTCCTGCGTTGGCTCTGGAAGATAGACCACATGCACCTGTCGAATCAGTGGTCGGTGCGCAGCAGACTGTGGATCAGCCTCCTGATGCTGCTGTACAGTCGACGCCAGCTTTGCAGACTGAAGTAGCTGATGCCCAGCCGGATCTGGAGATGAACCTTGCTGCGCTGGCTGATGCGCATTATAATTGCTCGTTGCCTGCACTGCCTGCCTCGCCAGGGAAGCATGGCGAAAAGATGCGCAGACCGGCTGCAGCTGCAAAAAAGATGCGCCGTCCAGCGGCTGCTCCGCATGCAGCGCCTTCGACGAAGCTGAAGCGGCCAGCTGCCGCTGTGAAGTCGTTGGCTTGTGCCAGGACTGTGGCGATCAAGAAGAGACCATCTACGGCTGCGTCAACCACCAAGTCGGTGACCAGGTCGCAAGCCAAGCGTCTTCGACCAGACGGCTGCGGCAAGTGTCGGTATCAGTGTGGCTGCACACCCAGTTGTTGGCGTAAGGATGGGATTACATTGTTGGATGATTAAATGTTGCTACGGCAGCGCTGACGATTGGAAGCTGGCTGCCAACTCACCGTCTGCAGATGGGAGGTTCATTGGAGGATTGTGTTTTCCGGAAAACAGTGTGCTGCGCGGCTGGGTCTGCGGTGTAGGTTTGTTTTACATACACAACAAACACATACATATAGATATATATATATATATATATATATTATAATTCTCTTTGTCTCTCCCTCTCGCTCTCTCTGTCCGGGATTGTCGTGCTTTCGATTGTCATGTTTTTTTTCTCCAGGGTTATTGTATTTTTTTTCGGTGTAGTTGCGGGATGCGCTCGCACTATTCATGGCGCTATGCTGGGGACGCTGTGGAAATACAGCTTGGAAAGGTTGGTGAAGATAGATCGGTGATGTTGCACACATTACCAGCATTGTGGAAGAGATGCGGTCAGAAGCGAACTGACGCGGACGTGGTGTTGCCTGATTCCCCCGTGCATAAGAAGACGAAGCCAAATCCCGAAATGCCACTCTCTAAGGAGCAGCAGGTGTTGGCAGATCGTGTGGCTGCTACACTTGAGAAGTTGCGGCATGCGTCTGCAGATAGACGCTGCCCGCGTGTTGTGGAACTTTTAGAGGCAGCAGCGCTCGATGTGCTCGATGCTTCGCAGACCGCTGAAGATACTCGCGGCATCCGAGAGCTCCTTGCAAAAGCAGAAAAAATGATGAGTGCGAAATAGATAGGTGAACCGGACGTGACTTTGGGTTCGATTAAAAACCTGGTCGGCTTCTGCCTGTGATGATGTGGAGGTAAATATAATATATATATATATATATGTATAATATATTCTTTTGTCACCCAATGTATATATAATATATCTATATATGTATATATCTTCCATGAACATGTATACATATATATATATATATATGAATATCATTCCATGTTGACTTTCATTTACAACCTCGGATACATCCGTATATATATATATATACATATCGACATATATATATGTGCACTCATACCTATTTTATTCGTGATCCCATTCCATGTTCCCAGATTTCCATGGATGTATGATAGATGTATTCCTATATATACCAACGTAATCCCAAGGAGCTGCAACTCTATATAGATACGTATAACGTCCTGTAGCCCCAGGAACAAGATATACTTTTTATATTGCATTTTTTCTTTTGGATAATTTTCTCAGCTTGCTCTCAGCTGCACCTTTGTGCGATGCTGCAGCAATGTTGGCTTCAGAGAAGCGGTCTGTCACGGGGATGGCCGCGATGGAGGATGAGGCCGGACCAAGGTTGCTATATATATATATATAGAAAGTAATTTATATTTATATATATATAGGCATATATTATATATATAATATATTTATTTCTTTATATTGCTCATTCGTCTATATAGATATAGCCGTGCAGCCCGCCTGATCGGAGCGGTCCGCTGTGCCCGTAGCTCAGCAAAGCTTTAAGCTAGCCTACGGGCAGCTTACAAACGCTCTCGCCTACGGGCAGAGCTGTAAGCTAGCCTACGGGCAGCTTACAAACGCTCTCGCCTACGGGCAGAGCTTTAAGCTAGCCTACGGGCAGCTTAGAAATGCTCTCGCCTATGGGCAGAGCATCGATAGCTAGCCTACGGGCAGCTGAATTGAGCTATAGCCTGAGGGCAGCTCAGCAAAAGCTCTACGGGCAGGGCATCTTGCTAGCCTACGGGCAGCTGGGTCGCGCTTGCCTGAGGACAAAGCTCTTGCCTATGGGCAGAGCATGTCGCGAGCGGGCAGCGCAGCATCATTATAATATCGTTAAATGCGATATATATATATATATAATATATATATATATAAATATATATATATGTATATATCGATATAATATATCGACATATATTTTTGATTCTAAATGAAACCTCGTGTTTTTCCGGCCAGGTGCGCCATGATCGGTCGAGCTCCGAGAACACCGACCACAGGCCACGGGGCCCTGATGAGACTGCTGAGCATCACGAGGATAAGGCAGATGGCTGTGATCCCGAGGATGCGAAAGCCAAGGATGAGGCAGATGGCTCCGCGCTTCCCGAGGGTGCGAAAGCGGGTGACGCTGTGCCTGCTGCGGAGGGGCCACCGCGCGCTGACGCGCGGGGCCGGACCGCGCAGCCACAGCGTGACAGAACAAGGACCCGGGGTGGGTACAAAGCGAACAGGCACAAGGATGACCGCACACCGTGCCGCTGGTGTAATCGCCCCGTTGCTGCCACGGCAGCCGGGCGGGAGCAGCACGAAGCGTCCATGTATTGCTTGAGTCGCAAGTTCTATTGGCATGTTGGCGGCATGACGTGGGAGCGAGCGGAAAAGGAGGCAAGCAAGCAGCTGGAAAGGGAATGGCAGCGAGCAAAGGGTCAAATGGCTCCTCCCGAGCCACGAAACCCTCCGAGGAACAAGGTCGACGCGGAGCCAGCGCGGCCTGCTCATGGGACGTACATGCGCTACTCTCCGAGGAAGGAGCGTGCTGAGCGCGAGAGGGAGGAGGCAGAACGCGAGCCATCGCGTTCTAGGCGCGATAGGAAGGAGCGCGCCAGGAAGGAGACAGAATGCGAGCCATCGCGTTCTGAGCGCGGGGCACGCCCGCGCAACTCTGCGGAGGAGCCTCGTCCTCGCAGTCGGCGCCTAGAAGAAGGAGAGCTTGTGGAACTAAAACCTGCCCACAGGTCACCACAGCAAACGCGGCGCGACCGCGGCAGACATGAGGAATCGCGTCGACGCGAGCACTCGCGTGGGCGCGGGAAATCGTCCCGACGTGCAACGCGCAAGTCGCGCTCGCGTCGGCGGGACCAAGGCAAGAAAGGCGCTGATCAGAAGGAGACCAAGCACAGCACAGAAGAGCGCCCAAGAGAGACTGCAGGCAAGAAGGAAGTCAAGAAGATGAAGTCTCACGCTCCGGATGTGGCCAAGCCGCCTGAGGAAGAAAGTTCCTCCAGTGAGAGCTCCAGCTCCAGCTCAGAGGAAAAGGCCCCGGCTTCCTCATCGGCCACAAAGTCGCCCATCGCGTCTGCGGCGCCAAGGGCTGCAGCGAAGGTCGCAGTGAAGTCTGCTGCGAAGAAGTCTGCCGCGAAGAAGTCGCTGGACACGCAGCAGCCTCCAGCAGAACTGCCTGCAGGAGGACAAGCTTCCAGCTCAAGCTCACGTGGCGTGGACACAGATCGCGCCGAGCTGGCAACGAGATTGCTGAAGACCGCCATGGAAGTTGTCTTGAAGAAAGACTGACAGATGGACTGAAGCCTTGCAGAAAAAAGTCGCCGGCAGCTTTCTTGGGGGGCAGATGATAAACGCTTATAAAAACATAATGTGTTCTAAATGTGTTCTAATGTGTTCTAATGTGTTCTATACACCCTAAATATATATCGAACGCGTGTGTGTTCTATATCAAACCAGAAAAAACAACATGATCGCGTATGTGTTCTGTAGAAAACGAGATAGAACGCGTATGTGTTCCGGCCCTCCCCAATAGAACGCGTACGTGTTCTAACCTATCCCGAATGTGTTCTTTCTATTAATAAAAATAATCACAAACACAATGTGTACTAAATGTGTTCTAATGTGTTCTAATGTGTTCTATACACCCGAAATGTATATAGAACGCGTATGTTTTCTATATCAAACCAGAGAAAACACCATGCACGCGTATGTGTTCTTTAGAAAACGACATAGAACGCGTATGTGTTCCGGCCTCCCGAATAGAACGCGTGCGTGTTCTAACCTATCATGAATGCGTTCTTTATATATCTATTATATAACCCCCAAAAAACATTGCGTTTCTTGGACAGATGTTCCATCACCGCAGAAATTTTTCACGTCAAGGTGTCATACATCAGTGCAGGGACATGGCTGCCATTGTTGAGACGCCGGAGGCTACGCAGCCTGAAGCTGTGGAAGTTCCGGCAGAAACTACAAACGACGAGCCTGTGCAGGCTGAGGCAGAGACGAAAGTTGCCACAGCGCCTTGCGCTAAGTGCAGGGTGTCATGCACGGTGACCGAGATGATCTTCCGCCCCCAGTATAAAGATGGACTGCAGTATACGTGCAAAGGTTGCAATGCTGTAAGTGCACAGCTGCAACGCAATGGCCTCTTCGTCGGCCAGCTGTTGAAGACGGAAGCTGACATGATTCAGTTCTACTCGGATGCGGCGCTGGAACGCAAAAAATGTGAGCAAGGCCGCCTCACTTTTGCGAGGACTAGAGCGCTCCTGAAGAAGCAGATGGTGCATGAGATCCAGCGGCGAGAAGTGGACAGGCAGGATGCCGAATGGCAACCGCTATCGGTATACGAGTTGCGCGGATATGACATTGAGGCGATCCGCGCCCGTGCGCCCATGGAGGATCACCCCATTCTGGGGGAAACCTTCAAATTAGAAATCCACAAGGAGTCGCTGGAAAACATCACCCTGCAGGTCGAGCGGCAGCTAGCAGAAATGGAGCATGCTGCTCTCGAGCGCAAGAAGAGCGCCGCTGCAGCTGCAAGCACGTTGGCAGTCCCAGAGCTGGACTTGGAAGCCATTGCTGACGCTCCTGCAGAGCGCAAGAGAAAAGGACCTCTGACCGCCGATGAAAAGGAAGCGAACAAGATGGCGCGCCTCGCTGCCAAAAAGAAAGAGGATGAACGCAAGGTTGCGACAGCGTCCGCGGCCAAGGTGCTGCCGCAGCTGAAGAAGGCGCAATGCAACTTGAAGGACAAGATCGGTCGCATGGGGGAAGATATGCAGCAGCTTCCTGCTGCCAGCTTGGAGCAAGTCCAAAAGGCGGAGGCCAATTTGGATGATGTGGTTACCAAGGCATCGCAGCTTCTCGATGCTGCGGCCAAAGGGAAGCCGTTTGATACGGCGGACCTGAGTTGGAAGAAGGAGAAGGAACTGACTCAGTTCGCGAAGGACGCCAACCAAGCCATCCGAACGATTCAGGAGTACAAGCGCGGCAGCGCGCCTGCTAAGGCAGCTGGCAAAGGGCGTGGCAAGGGAGCAAAAGGCACTCGCCTTGGTGGCGCCTAGGTGTTCCAAGTTGTCTTCAGCTATAGCGTGATCGCATATGCTGAACCCGCGATCATTTGTGCATGTGTGATATAACACATTGCGCTGCATAGACTGCAAACAATTCGAAGTTGGCACATAAGTCTTTACCAAAGGCAGCTTGCTTGTGTTGCAGGGAAAAGGAAACCGGCGATATGTGGCGGAAGGGTGTTTTGGCTTGTGCCTGCATGGACTGCATGGACTCATGCCGTTGCACTTTTCACGACGTACATGCATACCTCTAACCCTTTAGATATATATAACATGCTAAATATAATATATCATATAGATAAAAACATTTGCCATGTGAATATACATTATGACATGTATGGAAATATCTTACGAATCCACATTGCGCACGTAAGTATCTCTCTCTCTCTCTTCTGATATATATTCCCTTATAGTTATGCGTTGTATATATGAAAGTGCATTTGCAGGTAAGAACATGATCAAAATTCATTTTTTGAACTGCAGCATTTTTTCTCGGAGCAAAAGCAACGCAATCCCACGCCATGTCTCAGGCAAGCAGCGTGGTGCTAGAGTCTGTGGCTGCGGAGGCGGCTTATGCAAGCCTGAGTAAGGACGCAAGCCCCAAAGATCTCCATGACATGGGTCACGGCTCAGTTGAGTTGCTCCGGGAAGTCTTGACGCAAGTCGAGATTGGTGAGAAGCATCCGGAGTTGAAGCAGACAGCAGAGGCCATGGGGCTGCTGCTGCTCCTTCTAAAGGGCTTGTTGCTCGGATGGGATTGCGAAGACTTTCCAAAGGCAACTTTAGAATTGCCATTGCAACGGCTGCCAAAAACATGGCCCAACCACGCGTGGAAATTGAAGCACCCATGTCCGCAAGTATTGGCAGATGAGGTGAAAGCAAGTCTTCGGTTCCTGGAAAACCAGCCGACTCTGTCAGGTGAGCCCTGGGAGTGGCTAGCAGACAGCTTCCGGAGCATCCAAACGGTCTTAGAGTAGACTATATATACATTCGCAGCCTATTGTACAGGCGGTTCTTTTTGAATGCAGCTCGCGCAGGACGCAACGAATGCTATGCTGTGGAAAAGGCATGAATCGATTCGATTACAGTATCCATGTCGGCCAGAATGGTTGTAACAGAGGCCGGATTCACATTCTATAGAATATAACCATATATAAATAGGTATACATTGACAGTCCTCCTGCCTGATGTATATAATTCTACCTATATATAAATAATAAACAAGATAGATATATATATATATATATATATATCTTTCTCGCAGACACCGTATGAAGAATTTGTTCTTTAAACTATCATATATGTCGGAGTGGATCCGTCTAGTCTGATCCCTTCCGGCACGCATTCACGCAGCTTATCCTGTCTCATCCGCAGGTTTTTGTTAGGCCCTTCAGCACAACATGCTGCCCACGTTCCAGCCAGCGGCGAAGCGCCGGCGCCTGGAGAGCGCCATGGCGCGCTACAGTGAGAACAGCATTGCCCAGATAGAAACCATAGCAGCAGGCACAGACATCAAAGCCCAAAAAAGCGGATGGCAGAAGCGCGCCTTTGCTATCGCGCTGGCACCCGCGAGGCATTGCTTCCAGGCGCTCGAGGCGCCAAACAATGCCGGTTTGGAGCAACCTGTGCGATTTGCAGTGGCACGGATAGATTCGCTTCTCAAGTACATTGCCGGCAAGTGCTCAGACTTTGTGGCAGACTTGGAGCAGGCGCCTTCGCCTATCCAAGTCGTCCTCAGCTGGGATGAAACCACCGCAGGCAATGTGCTGGCGACGCAGGCCCGCATGAAAGCAACGATCTTCTATATCACCTTCAAACACTGGCAGAAAATACATGAGTCCCCCGATGCGTGGATCCCAGTCGCAGCGATCAGCCACGAGCAGGCTGAGCAAGTCGCTGGCGGAATGAGCAAGGTGCACCAGTTGTTTGTGGAAAACTTTGTGGAACAACGATTAGATCAAGGTGTATGGATTACACCCAGCACCAAAATATTTCTGGAACTTGCTCTCTTTGTGGCAGACCAAGATGCGCAAAGGGCCGCGCTGGCAGCAAAAGGTTCTGCTGGTTTGAAATGTTGCGCCTTTTGCCAAAATTGCTTGGCAAAAAATGCCGCGGGCGCGGCTGTGGACGCCCAACGTTTTCGCACCACAGCCTGTGCAGATATAGAGTGGTTCACTCCCAACACGCAAATGCAACTGCAGGGATACATCAGGAAGGCCTTAGGCCGCTGCTCGGACATGACATGTAAGGACAAAGACCTGGTAGAGAAATGCCTGGGTTTTCGGATCACGAGCGACAGTATGTGGGTCTCAGATGTTTGCTGCTCTGCGTTGCCGTTGCAACGCTACATGAATGACGCAATGCATTGCTACTATGCCAATGGTGTGGCAGCTCTAGAAATTAATTTATTACTGCAAGCAGTGCAACGCTGCACTGGGGTTTCCATCTTAGACTTGAAGCAGGCAGTGCTCCAAGCAGGCTGGAAACGAAATGGTCAATCGTTGCGTCAAGGACAGAACAAATGGTGGTGTGGCCGTCTTTTTGTTCCTGCTTTTTTTGTGGGTTCCACTTACAAGGGAACGGCGAAGCAAACTATGGCTTTGCTGCCTCTGCTCCTATGGTTGGCAGAAAGTGTCTGGAGCAAAATTGCTGCTCTGCGGCCAATGGTCGACTCTTTCCTGAAGCTTGGCAAATGCGTCCAGTGTCTCCGCAGCATTGCGGAAAGCGGCAATTGGAAGGAGCTGCAAAAGCTGCAAGAAGTGCATCAGCAAGCGTTCGCGCTTTGCTGGCCCGAAGAAGTTAGACCGAAGCACCACCACCGCCTGCATTTGCCCGCGCAATACGCGGCGGAAAAGTTTGTCGGCTCATGTTGGGGAACGGAAGCGAAGCATCGCTTCTACAAATCCTGCTACGCAAAAAACTTGCAGCAGTTCCTCACAGTCAAAGATGGCGGCTTGGAATTTACCGCCAGATTAATGCCACGGTTGCTTCTCAGACACACAGAACTCATTCGGGGTAAAGTCTTCGCACCAACGCGCTTTGTCCTTGAGAACTTGTTCGACCCGGCCGAAGTCAATAAATTCGCAGCCGGATTGGAAGCCTGTCGCGTTGCAGCTCGCTGCCGCACGGGTTTGCTGCAGCTGCAAGAAGGCGATCTCTTGCTGCATGGCAGAGACGCCGCGGAAGCCGGGTATTGTCACTTCTTCATCGACCACAAAGGTGAGTTGTATGTTTATACAACTCTCTGCTCGCTCGTGCTGCACACTGTGGCACTGAGAAAATTCGAGCGCACCACAACGAAGCAGATGCTGAAGTGGAGCAATTTGCTCACGCCTGCCGTGTGCAGCTGGTGGCGCCCAAGCCATCCAAATTACGTTTTCTGCATGCCGTGAGATAAAAAATAGGGCTGGCGCCATGGGTCCGACCTCAAACCGTTAAATTCATCGTGAAAACCATTGATTTTAACCCTAAACAGCAATTTCAACAAACTAAAAACTTAGCTAACTTATAAGATAGATATAACTTACTTTATAAATTCTCTAACTTAAGTTATGTTAACTTCAACCTATCTTCAATAACTCAATTATAAATTGCATAACTTCATCTTATCTTGCAGGCACCACATTGTATGGAATCATTGTGATTCCAACAGATTTGTCAAAAGCTGGGAGCAGACATGATGCCCTGACAAACGAGGATATCTGTCACTGTGGAACGCGCGGAGGACGTCACGGAGCCAGCGCCGTCTGTCTTCCAGCGATAAGTCGGGCAAGCACACTTCCAAGAGAGCTTTCAGATATTGCACCTGTAAGTCCTCCGGTGATGGCGTGGGTTCAGCTTGCGGTTCTGTAGGTGGTTCCTGCCGATCACCGCAGCGATGACCATGCGCAATGGCACTGCTATGTTTGCATTCTTTACAACAAAAGCGGTGCATTCCAAAGGCAAGGCGCTGACAACCATGGCTAGCACATGTGGTTGGCGCATCAGTGCGGAAATACCTCGGCATCTTCTCTGCAGCTGAAAGAAAACCCTGGCAGCGAGTGAAGATACGACCTCTCTAATCAACTCCGGCATTAATATTGACTAAAACAAACACATGTTTAGACGCAATTCCGTTCGGGAAATGTTTTTCCAAACTATTTCCTTTTCAGAAATTGTTTTTCCAAACTATGTCCTTTTCAGGAATTGGTTTTTCAGACTGGATCCTTTTCAGGAACTGTCTTTTCAGACTTCATCCTTTTCAGGGAATGTCTGTTGAGAGTGGATCCTTTTCAGGAACTGTCTTTTCAGACTTGATCCTTTTCAGGAACTGTCTTTTCAGACTTGATCCTTTTCAGGAACTGTCTTTTCAGACTTGATCCTTTCCAGGAACCGTCTTGTCAGACTTGATCCTTTCCAGGAACTGTCTTTTCAGGCCCAATCCTTGTCAGGAAATGATCCTGTTCAGGACGTGTCTTGTTCGAGTTTCATCTTCTAAGCAACTCCAGATTGGGACATGCAGACATGTCGATGCTAACGGGCAAAGAGAACGGATCACTTTTCACCTACGTGAAAGATGCAAAGAAAAGTGCAGGCAACGGAAGGTAAATTTTGAATTTATGCCATTTGATTGCAGTCAATCAATGGCCGTGCCTCATTGCAGGAAACTAAGCACATTCAAAAGTCGAACCCTTTCAGTGCCCAGCAGGAACGGGTGCACCAAGGACGATTTCTGCATCGACCACAGCCACCCTGATGAGCGCGAAGCAATTTCAATGGAATGCCTCCAGCACGACGAAGTTCAAAGTCTGCCTTCAACCGATCGGCTCGACTTCTCCTCACCTTGGTCTTTGCTACCTGAGACTTCTTTCCGGTGCTTTTCTCGTTCCCTTTCGTGACCTTTGTAGATTTCTGTGGCTTGGATTCCTTCTTGGCCTTCGGAGTAGGCTTCTTCGCCTCCTTCTTGGTCGTTTTCACCGGAACGGATTCCTCTTCGGCTGGTTCCTGCTGCTCTTTGGCCTCCATCTTCTCCACCTCCTTGGCTTCTTTCCATTGCTCTTCCAGTAGCGCAGCTGCAGACACAGCACCAACCGAAGTTGCCTCGGGGGGTGTCACAGCAGGAGCCGACGACCCCGACATGCCCGGAGTTTCCGGGGACGTCAGCGGCATGGGGAGGGCTGGTGGCGCGGAATGCTGCGGCGGCGCTTCCAAAGCTAAAGTAGGATGTTCCACCTGCTGGGTCTTGCCATGCCGAGCACACCATCGAAAACCTGGTATTTCAAGCTCTCCTTCATCCACATCCTGCAAACCAGGCAGCAGGGTCAGCAATGCAGGGCTAGAAGAAGCTAGGCTTCGTAGTTTCTGCATCTGTTGCCGTCCTTTGCCTTTCGTGACATCATGCAATTGCCGGTTGGTGTTCCTCATGGGAATGGTCACTGCCCGAGCGGCCACCTGAGACAAGTTCAAAGGACATTGTCCAACCGGTTCTGCTCCCAGAGCACGTTGAAGCCAACGAGGATCCATCTGTGCTGGATTTGTCGGCAATTTCTCGACATGCGGCAATGCATCTGAAGTCCCTGCGGCAGCAACGCTCGATCGAAGCTCCTTCTTCACCAAGAGAAACAACTCGTGCAACTGCACGGGTGACAGGGAGCACTTCAATTCTAACTCTCTTCCACCTGGACATGCCAACAGCAAAGCAGTCATCATCTGACTTGTCGCCTCGGACGGAGTCCTCATGCCCAAAGTCGTCGCGAAGACGCCAAGCAGATTCGCTTTGGCTTGGAAAGTGAGATCAGCATTCATCAGCTGCTCCCAAATGCTCTTTGGAAGGTACAAAATGACATTGGTGTAGTCTTGCATAGTTTGCCTGGAAGTTGCTGCAGCACGTGCAGAAAGACCATTCTGGATGGCTAATGCCAAAGAGCTTCGTTCCGTCTCATTCCAAATGGCCTGGCGCTGCAAGAGCTCCAATGCTTCAGAGCCTTCAGAAAGCGACCAACTATGCCGACCAAATTGACACGTCAAAGAAGACAGTTGGCTCTCCTTAGCTTGCATAAAGCTAGGAAACGTCTTCATGGTCTCCAAGTAGCGGCCACAGGCTTCCAGCGAAGCAACAATTTGGCTCATGGCTCTTTCTATAGACCTTTGTCCTTCGGTGCTAGTGAGCTCTTGTTGCAGAAAAAAAACTAGATCCAAAATGCAAGCGGATATCTGCTGCCCATTCAATGTGTCTGAACGATATCATGCGACAAAGAATTTTTTCTCAGGAATAGGTTTGTCGAACTTCTTCCCGTGCACGACATGTCTCTTCGCGCTTGATCCTTTTCAGGAACTGTCTTTTCAGACTTCATCCTTTTCAGGGAATATCTGTTCAGAATGGATCCTTTTCAGGAACTGTCTTTTCAGACTAAATCCTATTCAGGAACTGTCTTTTCAGACTTGATCCTTTTCAGGAACTGTCTTTTCAGACTCGATCCTTTCCAGGAACCGTCTTTTCAGAAGTGACCCTACACCTCCGGCACGCATTCCTTTTCCTGCCCGCGCTGATTGCCATCTACTTCTGCTTCTTGCTCGGAGCAGACGCTTCAGAAGACTTACCGGTCACCCTTTTTCGGTCTGGCTTCTTGATGGCCTCTTCTACCTTCTCGGTCTCTGTCTCCGTCATCTTCTCTTCCGTCGCCTGCTCCTTCTCGCGGGCCGCATGCTCGCCATCTCCAGCCTCTGCGGGCGGCTGATCCACCGTCTCCTCTCCGGGAGCCTCGAGGCTCTCCGGCAAAGATTTGGCTAGCTCCAAAAGTGGCGACGCTGCCGCAGCAAGGGCCAACATGTAGCTGTCCGTAGACATCGTATTTAATCGAACGGACGCGCTGGTGCTTTTACTTTGAGAGGCAATGCAGCTAACACAAACACACACTGTTTGCATATTGATAGAAAAAACCAGACCTTCTCTGCAAGAAATATCTTCCAAGACCAGGTCCTTTACAAGCATTAGATATTACAAGTTCAAACATTCGATCCTTTACAGGAAATGTCTTTACAGACCACATCCTTCACAGGAACAGTCTTTGCAAACCATGTCCTTTACAGGAACAATTTCTTCAAACAGAATCCTTTACAGGAACCATTTTTTCAAACCATGTCCGTTCCAGGACCTCATTTTTTTCACACCGATTCCTTTACAGGACCTGTCTTCACAAAAAAATTGCCTGCGAACAACATCGTTTCCACATACAGAAAGATTGTTTCACCCTGTATAAATGTTGACAAGCTTTGTCACAAACTTAATGAAACTCTCGAAAAATGTAAAATAAATAAACATTTTCATTGCCCTCTTGTAAACATATTTTTAACTTTATGTACCTTTATACTAACTTTTTGTAACTTTTTATAACTTTTTATAACTTTTGTTAACTTTCAGATAACTTATGATAACTTTTCCTACATACTTATGTTAAGTCTGTTAACATAGTTATAAAAAGAAAACATGCAGTTAAGATACTTACGATAAGTTCATTAACCATTTATATTTTACCTAAACATTTACAACTTCTCGTAGCCGGCTAGCTAAACTTACAAATTACTTATCAAATGTTATGACACTTTACATACTTGCAAGCAGGTTATAGACATGTTATAGAAGGTTTATATACATGTTGTAACTCGTCTAAATCTGTAAACTCATATAACTTCCAGCGTACAGTCTTCGTATAGATATATCCATAGTCACCATAGTGGGGTATTACTTGTGTTTAGAAAAACAGAACAAACGAAACTGACCTGTTTGGCAGAGTCCAAATGGGAAATGATTCCACAAAAAAACTGAGACGTAGAGGCACCATGCCTTGTAACTGGGGCCGCCTCAATTTCCCCAGCATTCCCCAGATCAGGTTGCTGCAACCACTTTGCAGAAAATCAAACCTGCTTGGTGCAAAGCCTGAAGATTTGCGTTGGGTAGTTGGACCGGATTAGCCTCCTGCAATCAAACATGGCCACTAACTTACAGATGATTTCACCTCTGATTTATACAGGATTTCCAGCTAGCCACCTGTTGATGTCCCTCGCAGGGCTTGACAAACACTACTTTGATGTTGCCAGCAACTAGCGATCTGTGATTGGTAAGTCATAACCCCTGAAACCAATGGGCCAATGGAATGTAGACTGAGATATAGCCCAGTGGCGAACCAGCGAACCACCAAGCGCTTCTTCTATAAACCTCTACTGTAAAAAGAGTTTCATGGATTTATAACCCGTATTTTTTTAAAAAAAAAAACATTGAATCATACCATCTAAGTGACCCATAATCACCATAGTTTCATAGTCCCTGTTCAGCAACGGATTTTCTTCCCTTTGATTGGACAAAAGGTGGCCATATCGTCCATTGATGAACTATGCCGACTATGCCTGGCTGATCCGGGTTGACCAAGTGGACATATTCTCCAAAAGGGGCAATGACCAAGTAGCATACTCCAATAATATTCATGGAATGTCCCCAGCTATGGTTTACATATAGCAACCTCCAAAAAAATAACTTTAAAAACTAATTTATCATTATTTTAGTATAGGAAGTTACTTTTCTATTTTTTGGTGGTCACTGCCACTGCATGATTTCTTCTTCTTTTCGAATGCCCCAGGTCCCCCAGGTCCCTGGGGCTCTTAGTCGCGTCAAGTCGCCACCACGAAAATGGCAAAGCAACGCTCCGCCTGGCACTGCTGGATTAGTTTGAAACAAATGGACGTTGGGTCATCTTGTATGTATGTATATTATATCAAATTATTGTGTGTATATATATACACATTGTATTGTGTATGTATATATATATAATATGAAAACAAATGTGTAATATAGAATATATGTATACATGTATATGTGTATTCAATACTATATGTATATACATATATATATATATATAATCTCATATAATTTCTATTTATGTCTGCATATCCGAGGTTCAAACAAACAAACATGGCAACATCTTACCCAAGTGGCTGGTACCACTGTTCACCCCCTCTTAACGCCAATCATGAAGCCCTGGCTTTGTTCAGTTGGAGGCGTCTGCTTTGATAGCACTAGATGCACTTTTGACCTGCAGCTATAAGAAACATTATGAGTCAAAAGTCAAGGAACATGGGTCGAAATTCGCCAAAATGGCTGCTGGATTGCTGATGACCCGGCAATTGTGGGTCCATTGGGACCCCCAAGATGACATCCAATTGAGCCATGAAACATATCCTTCCCTGTCCCATTATACCAGTTGGTCAATAGGCCTTCCAACTTCTTCTGGCTTATAGCTGCATCAACAACAATCCCTTAAAGTATCGTACCAGATAGCGCAACCCACTATAACAACCAACCATTGCGCCTCAATGATATCATTGATCTTTGAGGGGGTAAAACTACTTACAACCCATATCTATATATATCTATCCATATCTAATACTCAACGCAATCCTATAGTTACTATAGTGACCATCCAACAGTTACTACTTTGATTTTCTCTCCAAGGAGGCCATGGCTATCGAGCCAGTAACGTCAACGTCCGAGCTGCAAGGTTCCCAGGGTCGATGTCCGGTTTCGAGGCCGGTGTGAATTGGGTAATCGACCAGTGAAAACTGGTGACGTAGCGATTGTCCTGAGGCCGCAGCCAACCGAAACGGCAGGATTGGAACAGGAATCGCGTTGTTTGAAAGCAAAGTGTACATGGAACTAATTGGATTAATGTTGGCTAATATATATATATATAATGAATTATAATTGAATTATATATATATATATAATCACCATGAACTTGGCCTAATCCTTGATGATGGTGAATAATGGAACTACCAATAGCTGGCATTTTTTTTTGATCAGTATGGCATCGGATGTACAAAGTTCTCTGAAACCAAGAGCGAGATTCGCATTTCAGAAGCGGGTATGATGAGACTTACAACTTACACATGCACGGATAGGTTTCAGAGCATGGCCAACAAGGACATGTTCTTTCAACAAAACAAAGCTTAAATTTCATAAGTTCTTTCACGCTCTTTTAATCCATACTCACTTAACATGAATGCTTGGGTCTTGACTGAAATTACTGAAACTGGGTGGTTTGAAATGTTGAAAGAGGTGAATTAAGCCACTTTTAGCCAAGCTTCCCATTCCGCGGCTAACATGCCGCTCTCTTCCTTGGTCGTACTGATTCCAATAACTGGAAGCCAACCTCCGAAAAGCATGCAGCTCGATCATGTAGTTCCCCAGAATGTTTATATTGTATAGAAATTGTTGTGCATCATCATACGGTATCGCCAACTTAGGGCCCTCATTATTAATCAGGGATTCTTTCAAAACAACATGTTTTTGGGCCCAACCTCTCCATCGTGGACTGATTGGTGATGGAGTAGTTTCACCATTCATGGATATCAAATGATACCAGGAATGACAAATGGCACGTAGAAGTTCAAGACAAGTGTGAAACCGAACGTCCCTCGTTGAAATTCTATGGAATTCTCACTTCAGGGCTTTCATCCCTGCTTCAAAGCATCAAACACCATGCCATATGCAGTCTTTTAAAGGATTCACTTCGGTTGACGCTGTCTGTGTCCGCACCATGACGTGTAAATATGAGCTATTGAATACGCATCACACTCTACCTATTTGGTTCTATACAGTGTATATACACATAATTACACGTAATTATATAAATATGATCTGATGGAATCTAATGATTCTAATGGACACAATTCCACTACTACGGCTTCCCTTGATACGTATGAATATCAACATAGGCATGTCATGGCATGTATCCAACTTGAGTAATTACCCCAACCCTCAAGGTTTCGCCTCATTTGCCATATTTAATTTTGGATACATGTGGGCCATCCCTCATTTTGAAGATACCACATATTACGATATATTAGGGGGGGTTCCTGAAATAGGGCTACCCCCAAATCATCCAAATTCTGTTCATGGATTTTCCAATTATAAACCACCCAGCTATTCGGGTACTGCCATGACGATTTTTAAACTTCCACATCGTACCCAAAAGAGACTCAGGGGACCTGATTTTAGACTATTTTTAGTATTATTAACATCTATTAACATGTCTTCCTTTTTAGGGTGCCCAATTTCACCGCATCAAAGAGGGCCGTCTCCGCAAGGTTTGTGCAAGGTCAGCCGAGCGTCCACCCAAGCAGGTCTACCGCCCTGGTATAAACTCAGGGAGATGGCATACCACACACCTGGCCACTTCTGAATGGTGCATTTTGCTGGACATATTATAGGAATCCACCAAAAATATAGAACAGTAACAGTGTTTCCAGGGAAGTGTAAATGAGAGTTACATATAGTTACCACATATTTCCAGGGTTACCACTTTTCTACCCTTTTTTTGGGTGACAAGAATAAATGACGGAAAATACGCCAGACACGGAGCATATATATACACAGAAAAATAAAGTCCCCATGCTAAGCATGCCTTCTTCCGTTCACCATGGGACCGACGCTTGTAGAAATGTTGTGACATGTCATGAAAGGTCCGTGTGTGGGAAATTAAACATAACATATGCACCCTGTACCTGTGACAAGTCGGCTGCATTTGAGTGAGGTTGAGGATACAGCATGCAGGTCGATTTCACCCTTCCCACGTGAACACACCAAAGTTTTGGAGCATGGGTTTCTCAAATAGAAATAAGTTCGTATTAGTTGATGAAATGCTTGGGATAGAGTATAATTACATCATTTCTGGGAAAACCATGCTCAATCATGCTAAATCCATAGTGTCTCTAGATTCTAATGCATTGATTTTGAAGATGTTTGGTGGAGATGCTATATTCTAGGATACCGGTACGTGGCTTTGGCCCAAGCCAGTCATTCCCTGCCACAGACGAACAGTAAGGTGCAGTGAGACTGAAGTCCACAGTTTGTCTTTTAGTAAAAGAAATGAATAACTATATATAAATATATGCAATACCTGGTTCAGCCCTTGATGCGTCTTAATGCATCTTAATGAATCTTAAATGCAAGCTGCTCGAAGCTGGATTACTTGGCTAGTAGCTTAGTTGCATCTCCATGTTTTATTGTGTGCTTTCCATCCACGGTCCATCCGCTCGGGTCCCTCAGCAAAGGCACATGCGATCAAATGATTGAGAGCTAGCCTTGGCGACGGCAAAGGGACGAGTCATGGATCAAATAGGACCATAGGAAAGCACCATTTGACATGGACGAAGAATTTTGCTGGTTGGTGGTATACCCACCCCTCTGAAAAATATGAAAGTCAGTTGGGATGATTTTTCCCAATATATGGACAAATAAAATTCATGTTCCAAACCACCAAGCAGTTTGGGGGAAAATCATGCCAGACAAACCAGCGCCAAGCAGGATGTCTCCCGTTGGTTCCAAGCCCTGCAGCTAGACTCAGACATTGCCAGCCCATTTTGTCGAAATCAGTGCCAATCCAAGGAAGGTGGTTCATGGTATCATCCTGTTGCATTCTTCTTCGCAGCGCCTCCCTCCTTTGCCTTTCCTCAGCTTGGCTCCGTCTCTGGGCCAAGAGTTTCTGCCTTCTCCGCTCGTCTCGCTCTTTCATGCGTTGCCGCAGCGCCTTGCGACGTCTTTGCTCAGCCTGGCGGAGTAAACACCCCCAAGCCGCAAGGATTTGGTTCAAGGCCAGCACCTTTCCTGTGTCTGCTGAGCAATCCCAAGAACCCTTTACACATAGGGTGACTGATATTACAGTTGTTCCGCAAACAGCAAATGTGACACTATACCAACTAAAAACATGAAAAAAACTTATGTTTAAAAACCACGATCGAGGGTCTTGTCATGATTTCTTCAGGCGTGTAAATGCGCAGTCTGCATGGGCGATGCTGATTCTTGTCATGCTTCGCCATTTGTTCTCGCTCCCGATGTTTCTGCTGTTTAGTCGCCTTCTCTTGTAGATATTTTGGTCGGTGTCTATTCTCATCTTGTAGGGCCATATGCTCACGCTCCCACCATTGCAGCATTCTCTGGCGCGAAGCTAAGCTTGCTTCACGAGAAATGCAGATTCTTTGCAAATAGCTTGGGTCAGAGTCTCTCCACATCTCATTCACGGTGTTTTGAAAGCGTTGCCAGGTATCTTCCAAGTGGCTTGGGGAAAAGAACCAGAAGATCTGACTTCGCCTCTGCTTGCTTTTGATTGAATACTGACGGAACGGGGCCAAAGAGTTGCGATGCCTCCCAAGTGCTTGAATGCTGCGGACTGTTGGGGATCGCACAGGGCGCTGGTAGCCCACAAAGAAAGCGGCTGGCTGGACAACAGCGAAGCGCAGGTCTAGTTCTTTGACTTGTTTCCCGTGTTCGTCGGCAGAAGATTTCAAAGATCTTTCCAGACGTTCTTCGAAGGTGCTGTCTTCCGAGCCTTGCACGTACTTCTGCTTGGCAGTGGTTAAGATCATCAAATGCTCAAGTGCCGTCTGCAAATCAGATTGTCCAGACCTGATTTGAATGCAGTCAAAGATGATGGTCGACACGTAGCCTTGCCATCCCTTTTGGATGCTGCCACAAGTGCGCCTTGTCCGTTTACCCCGCTTTTTCTTCACTTGGGATTTTGACCTGGAAACTACACTTTGCCGCTGGAGCTTGAGTCTTATATGAAAGCTGCCAGTAGGATCTTGAAATGGTACAAGGTGCCGAGGAAACCGGTTCTTCGACACGTCTTTTGCAGTGTCGACTCGCGATGGTGGTTGAGCCTCCACAGGCACCGGCGGAGATTCTACTCGTGTTGTATCCACAATCCACTTCTCCAAGATGAGTCGCTGCTTCTCAGAGAACTTCGTTTTGAGCACATCGTTCCGAGCTTCTCTGGGTAACTGTTTCAACAAATCATGAACCTTTATCAACAACTGCTGTTGTCTAGACTCCAGCGACAATGATTTTCCTTTGTTCCCAGCATCCCTGGGCCTTTTCTTGGAGGAGCATGGCTTCTGCGTTGCAGATGTGCTTGGACAGGAGGAAGATGTCTTTGCTTCCTCTTTTTTGCCACTGGGACCTGTGGCTTCTGCGGATTGCTTCCTCCTCACCTGCGATGACGCCAAACGGCGGTCATACTTTTTTCGTAATTCTGGGTCAGACAAAGTCTCCAATGCCTCCTGAACCAAATGAAAGGCCTCCTTGCTGCCACCTTTGTCTGGATGTACTTGCAGAGCCCGGCGTTTAAAGGCGAGCTTTATCCTGATGTGGGTGTTACTAGCCTACTCGCCGCCGAGAAAAACCATGGCTGCCATGGCTCTGCCATGGGATCATTGTTTATCGTTCTCAGGGACGGAAATGACAAGTGTTGATAATAGGGACCCAAAAGTTGAACTATAAAAAGACAACAGAAATTGAAATTGCCATTTTGGGGTATCCTCCATCCTTGGACAAATCAAATCCATATCTAAAATGACCAACTAGCATCTCGTCAATGGCAGCATTCGCATCAACTTGCAGCACATCGTAAAAGGACTTGTGCACCATCGAGCAAACTCCATCCAGAAGCCACAGAATGTCGCGACTAATTTGCTGGCAATATGTGTGCATATTTAGAGAGTTTGTGGGGTCTCCCTTTTGCATCATTGCGATGTCACTGTTGTTTCCTGAAGAGTGACGAAATCTGCACTGCTAAGTGGCATAAGACTGACTGGTTTCCCCGTGGTATTCAAATATTGCTTTCTAGAAAATCACCCATTTCCTTCGATAATGTTCCAGCTATAAAGCTCCATTTAGTTTCAGGATTTTGATTACCAGGGGGGTAGTGATTCTTTCTCAACCCAAGCCACACATTTTATTTTCCTATTTGGACTCTGGTTTTCCGGTGGGTTCTGATCTTCCAAAGGCTGTGACGAAAGATTGGATTTCACCAACACAACCAGCGATTTCGCAGCGTTTGAACGGTGATTTAACCAGCAAGGATGTAGAGATGTAACAATCAAACATCGTGATGATTGGAACAATATATAATATTCTATTCACAATCTATTCACCATGTATAGCTATCTATATCCTATTTATCCTATTCATATTCTCTTAAGATGGGATTTAAACAAGCCACAGAAGATGTACAGTAGCCTAAAGGGCACGAAAGGGGTATAAAAATCTTGCAATCAATTTGAGTCCCGGAAATCATCGGAAATCATCCGCGATGGAATCGTGGTGACAACCAATGGCCGCGAGGTATGTGTCAAACTCTCACAAGAGAGGTCAGCAAAGCCATGAAAACGGCTCAAATGGAGATTTCATGGGATTTAATGGTGATTTATACTATGAACAATCCAGTATGATGTTTCACGATTATCCACCTGAAATCCGATTGGCCCGCACTTTCCCAGTCACCCAGTCACTTTTTGTTAAAGCCCAAGTCACAGGAGCAAGATCATCTTGAACTGGGCATGGCAGGGCGCTCGCTGGTCTGAAAATATGGAACCTCTAAAATCCTCTATATCCATTGGTGAGTCATCATTTTATATCATTTTAATGGCCATAAAGCAGGGTTTTTTGGCACCATTTTCAGACCCATTTCAGATGGGCTTTCCTGCATCTTTTTTCCCATCACCGAGGTCTGGGATGGTCGTCATAACTTGAGTCATAACCTGGCTGGTGGTTTCAAGCCTTCTGAAAAATATTATATAGCCAGTTGGGAAAAATAAACAGTGTTCCAAACCACAGTAACTATATAATAAAGAAAGCCATAGTACGGAGAATAGCCGTTGCCCAGCTTAGTCGTGGACAAAATCACCATTCGACCTAGTGGTCTCATTGCCTAAAGATTGGGGAAAGCTGTGCCAAAGATACCATAGATTGGAGATGCTCTTCCAAGATGGGCAAAACAGCAGCAATACGCAAGGATATATACATATAGTACAAAGTATACATATATATATATATATATCTATATACATCACCTCTTACTACCAACCAGGATCCTATCTATGTATGTATGTATGTATATATATATATATACATATTGTATATATATATATATATACATTGTATATATATATATATACATACATATCAAATACCATGCAATTATATAGTTATAGGTTTGGATATCTACTGACCCGTTTCTTCATCTCCTTGATCCAGGCACAACGCCACTGGTTGGTGGTTAAAAACCATCTTGAAAAATATGAGTTCGTCAATGAGAAGGATGACATCCCATATATGAAATGGAAAATAACAATCATGTTCCAAAGCACCAACCAGATACAGTATCACCAAAGTCTTCACTTATCAAAGCTTCCCACCATTTAAAGATGGCATTTCTTCCAATTTTTGGCGCCACATATTTTGGGCGGTCGCCCTGGGCAAGGCGCGATGTTCGCCATAATGCTGGCGATCTCAGAATCCAAGTAATCGCTGAGTTTCTCCATGACCTCTGGGCAAATCATAAAGGAAAAGAACCATCTAAAGGTGACCTCAGGGAGAATGAAACTAGATATGGCTCTAACTGCTTTGTTTATGGTAGATACATGGACCTAGTTACTATGATTACTATGTTACTGGGGTTATAAATGGAATACATATGGCTCCCGAACTATTTGTAGCTATATGTGATGAGGGTTTGATTTCAATTATTGTTACTATCATTGTCATTGTTCGATACGAAAAGTCCCACACGTACGGTAGGTTCCTATGTTGCTTGAACGTTTGAATTTATGGTGGAATTCTTCGAACCAGTCAGATGGGTCGCCCAGTATTAATTGTGAACAGTGGACCCAATGTGATAAACCATCCAAACAAGGAATTTGTTGTTGGGATTTGTTGGGTATACCGCTGTAAGATGTAGAGTGACTGCCCAAATGATGCTAAGTCACACTTTCTATTTAACAGCAGTAAAATTTAAGTATCATTCTCGAGATTACAATACCTGGGCATCCCTGGAGAACTTCTAGTATTAGTGAGATATAATGTTTAATGGCATTTTACCACTTGGGATTTGCGGTGCTGATACTCTAGTTGCAGGCTGAGTTTATATCAGAAATTGCCATGCAATAACTCCCTGTTCATCTGCAAAGACTTATCTCATCCATTCATTCTCTATGGATTGATGTAGGTTTACTACCAAGGTTCTTGTTGGTCACAGCTGCATTTGATCGATGAATTTCCACTTTTTTTGGCATCATTTCCTTCTTTTCTTCCCTTTTTTTCTATCAAAAGCCCCACCTTACACATTCTGCTGGGGAAATCATGTGAAATCCACCAATTTCATGCTTAAATCACGTTCAATCACCTTTTGTTTCGAGTGACATGCACCCGACAAAAATCCCCAACTCCGCCCATCCCCATCCCCAGCTCCAGCGTTCCCCGTCCTTCTGCAGCTTCAGCAAGCGCAGCAGCCGCGCAGTTCGCGCCAGGCGTAGGATTCGCAGCAAACGAACGCCTTCCTCCTAGGTCACCAACCCCTGTCATGATAGGTTTATGGCCAGAGTTGCCCACATTGCAAGAGTTCATGGGGATAGCACTTGAATGGGATAGTGCCATGGGAAGGGATGATATACCATAGTCACATATGTATATATACATATATATATATATGCATAAACAAGTGTGTGTATTGACTGTTTGTGTCTGTGTGTACATCATTGTATACATACATTGGAGTGTCTACTATCTGTATGTCTGTGGGAATCAACCTATGTCAATCTGTGAGTGGGACATTGCTTTGCATCCATGAATCTGCATGTACAAAGACTAAAGCCACCATCATCATGAGGCTCATCTCTACAGCATAAATAATTGAGGTATTCTATAAGCACAAAGGCTGTTGTGTATATCCATAAAGGCATTAGATCATTTCTCAACCTTAGGTACATCAAACAAGTTGACTTTTGGCAAAGTCCTCTATTCTTCAGATATTGGACCACAAAATCTACAACATGATCCCTACAAACCTGCCTTTCACATTTTTTTACCTGTATCCTCAAGTAAACTCACAATAGATATGCTAACTCCACCATGAATGTCCATCATTTTCGGGAAACACCCTGGATTTCCAGAGCTTTTCCTGTGTTGGTGTATACCTCCACTGTACTACCACCCATCAACCCATCAACCCATCAACCCAGACCTCAAAGCCACCGGCGCTAGATTCATCCGCATCTGACGTTGTTGGATCCATCGATTCCCCCCCCATGGGAAAAATGACTTGGATGGCTCACGTCTCAGAAATCTGCTGATGTGGTACCCCATAGGATCCATGGTGCTGCTATATATGGTGCTCCATGGATCCCATCAATATACCCCAGTCATGTTAGCATATATACCAGCACCATGGATCCGTCATGGGTACTGATGCAGACATATTTCACGAAAGATTAAAAAAAAGGATAATCTCAAAAGGGATGTGGCAGTGGGTCAAAACCATGTACCCCTGTAGTTCACATCAAAATAGCTGGGATTTATGGATGTTCATCCCACTAAAAATGGTACTTATAGGTATTGATCCATAGCCATGTCATGATAACAAAGTTTGTTCAGCTCCAATAGATCCAGGAGAATCATCCAACTCAACGGATGATCTTCCAGCCACGTTGAATTCTTGGTGAAATGCCACAGATGGAGGTCCCGAAAAAAAGGGGTCCCCAGTTGTCACCATGGCTTCCAATACTAAGTCATGGTCCAATGACTTGGATGATTTACGGTACCCCCATTTTAGGAAACCTCCAAATCTGCTTCTTCAACATCGTTTAGAACAGACTGCCAACTTCCTAAACAATCTTTGCAAGGAACCCCAAAATGGTCAAATCGAACAAGAGAAACATATGTGGGACACCCTTTTAAAAGGTTCCAGAGGTTCCATGGAAAATTTACTGGCTGCATCTTTGTAAGCTGCCATGGTTTGGTGCAACCCTGAAGTCATCGAAACATCATGTTTTTGTTTTTTTTGACATTTGACTTAAACAATTGCAGAGATGCTCATGCAATGGCAATCATCATCATCATCATCATCTTCATCATCATCAGCATCATCATCAAAATCCATTAGTAACCATTAATAACCATTAATAACAATTAATAACCATCAATAACCATTGCTAACCATTGATAAAACATTAATAAACCACTACCATCATCATCCTCATCATGTTTCAGCCATGAAAAGCCGCATTAAATCATCATTACCCTCCTTTGTGCCATCAAACATGGTAATAGACAATACCCCGTGTTCACTGGCTCAAATGGCAATTAATTGTGGTTTCAATAGCCCATGTTGTTCACTGAATCATAGATATAAAATATGTTCCCAGCTGATGTCTTGATTTCTCAGCTAGCCACGTTTGATGACCGGACGGTAAACCCATTGTTGATCATTATTGGCCATTACCACCAATGGTTTACCATATTAACCAGCATTAACCACTTTTTAACAACTATTAACCACTATCAACCACTATTAACTATTAACCACTATCAACCACTATTAACTATTAACCACTATTAACCACTATTAACCACTATTAACCACTATCAACCAC